TCACAACTTCTATTCAACTTTTTATGCTGAAATGAACGTATTCACTGGCAACTGGAGCGGAAGGTGGAATAGTCACGTTACTCCCTGACGTGTACGAACTCGTTTGGAATCGCCGAAGTCGAGAGCGAAACTGTAGTTTTAACAAACTCGGAAAAGTTACTTCCAGAATGCCTTGAACTGAACAGCGAGTTTTCGTCCGAATAGTTCGGGTGAGACCAATTTTCCACTCGACCCTTTAGCCAAATTGACCTGTTCTCCAACAGAGTAGGTTCCCTTTTAATTCACTTCTGCCATGTGACCCAAGAGCACCAATGGCAGTGTGGAGCAGTTGTCGTCATGTCAAGAATATACACTACACTGTCACGGTTCGAATCCCGCAGGGGGTGCGAGGTTGAAAATGCAGTCCAGTCCAGTCTGGATGAGAATTCCTCACAGGAAGCGAGGCTATGTAAACTTGTATGGAAATGTGAGGCCTACTCATATGATTGCGGGAAAATTTAACATATCATATATATATATATATATATATGTATACGTATGTATATATATATATGGATAAATCCTTGTCAGAGGATAACACCACTCCCTACGATAATTCGCCAAACGCGAAGACAAGATAGGTGGCCGGCTGCAACTCTACCTAAATTTTTCCTTCATGAGCAGGGTTTCGATACTACCAGTAAATCAGTTATATGAAATGTACTCATCCTATTTCGTTTAGGGTGTGAAGAACTGGTAGTTGTATTGTCCCATCAATGAGACATCTAATGATTTGCTTTCCTATTCTCCGCTTTCACACACGCTTGCAGAAAAGCAAAACGACTGAAGATGATGAAATTTAGCACAGGTTCATCGTGATCGCAAGACGGTGAGTCGAGGACCCCTTCGGATAATCCGAAAGTCATCAATCCTGCGAGTTCCGGTGGGACCAATTCACGAATTCTTTACAACCAATCTTTCCTTCAAAATTACGTCGTGATATGAAGACCAAGATGGTGTGACCTTTTGTGTGGTCGCAGTCTCCTTTTGTTGTATTCGCAACATGGTCATATTAGTAGGAAGGCTTATATGAGTCAATTTATGCATCATCATTTCCAGAGTCGGACCGTGGACGTGGTACATTCCCAGACGTTTCGCCATTCTTAGCACCACACAACAACTCGTCAAAGAGACAAGTGAAGACGATCCTTTGACCAAACTTGTGCTAAACTTTTGTGGTATCTCCCCTTCTGCCCTGGCCTATTCACATTTCCTATATCCTCCTATCACATCTTTACTGTTACAATTTTTTCTTCCTTGCTTATTTAAATCAAGTGTGGTGTGACCTTTTGAGCGGCTTTCATGTGAACCAAGGTCAAACAATTTCTCACGTCGTGATAGCCTACCAACGAAAATCCCGGAAATCATTGCCAATGCTGAGCTTGGCCGAAAGCGCTGCCTCTTCTTCGAGTCATCTTCACCTGAACGGCGGGCAGTCCAGCTCGAAGGCTGTCTCACTCTCTGACACATGCCCCTGATACAAGCTCGAGGTGACCATGACGCTCGTCGGTCATGACCCCAGCAGAAAAGGGGGTTTTTCCGTGTTGTCGGGCGGACGGCGAGATGTCATAAATTGCCATGGCCATTAAGGCAGTCTGAAAGCCCATGGACCTGGTGACTGAACGACTGAGCGTACCTCTCACAACTCCAAACATGTGCGGCAACTGGTCGATCTGCTAACGCTCGGGGGCACTTGGCACAGGCTATTCATTTGTTCAATTGCAAGGCGTAATTTATAACAACCTAAACAGTGGAGTTCCGACATTTGGTGGGTAAATGTACATTTTTGTTACATTGTTTATTTGCCCTCGTGAATGCCGGGCATTCTGAACAGGCGCCTCAAGCGATCCTCCAGTCTGTCGTGTGAATAGGCCGTAATACGCGACCACGATCTTTCTGCGAACGGGTGGATGGTGGAGTCAATCGGCAAAAACTGCCAGTCCGGTGTGGAAAAAGGCTATGCGGAATAAACGGCTTTTTCACCGTTTTCCTCTGACGGATGCATGACACTCTCCAATGGCTGGGCTCAGGAAAGCAGATGACCCATTGTAATGTGCCAGAGGGTTGAATGAGCACTAGAAATATGGCAAAAACACGGAAAAAGTGACTATATTCTATGAAGTGCCCCGCCAAAGTGT